GATCCTCCCGCCTGGGCCTCCCAGAGTGCTGGGATGACAGGCGGGGGCGCGGCGCCCGGCCTGTGTCCAGGTTTTAGGGTCTACCGCCGGGCGCCGTCTGTGTGAGAAAACACAAGCAAGGGCGTTGGCTGTCTCGCTGCCACGTCTAGAATCGGAAAGGGAGACCGCGACCCAAGCGTGCCCGGGCGCGGCGGCGCTGGGTAAACCCGGGTTTGCGCGCGCCCCGGGGAGCCACGGAGCTGCGGACCGCGGCAGACCGGGAAGGAAGTGAAGAACCCCGTCTACCCCCGGGCAAGAGGGGAAGGGACAAGACGGCGAGGGAGAACGGAGCCGCCGCCCAGGCCCCCCGCCCCCACCCCCGTGAAGCCCGGGGAAGGGAATTCTCGGGAACCGCCCACCCTGGACCCTGACCACACAAAAGCAAAGCGGAAAGAGGCCAGACCCTAAACCCGCCCGCAAAGTGACTCCTACGCAAAGCGAGGTGGGGACGGGCAGGAGGGTGCGTGCCCCGGTTTCCGAGTTACCAGAGAGGTGGGGGGAGGAGAGGACAAGGGGCTTCTCCACAGTGAGAGTGTAGGAGGACACATCCTAAAATTATCTGTGTGATTGGAAATTCATTTCAAAAAGAGAATTGCGGCGGCTCACGCCTGTCATCCCAGCACTCTGGGAGGCCGAGGCGGGCGGATTGCTGGAGCTCAGGAGTTGGAGACCAGCCTGAGCAAGAGCTCTGAGACCCCGTCTCTACTAAAAATAGAAAAATTAATCGGCCAACTAAACATACACAGAAAAAAATGAGCCGGGAGCCCGCGGGCGTGGGTGGCGGCATGCGTATAGCCCAGCATACTGGGAGGTGAGGCAGGAGGACGTCGCTTGAGCAGGAGTCGGAGGTTTGCTGGTGAGCTTAGGCTGACGCCACGGCGGCACTCGGCTCTAGCTCTGGGCAAAAAAGGGAGACTGGCTGTCTCACAAATAAAAAATAAAAAAAGAGAGAGAGAGAATTGGCTGGGAAGCGGTTGCTTGAAGTACTCTCACCTCCGCACTTTTGGGAGGCCAAGAGGCGGGAGGACTCACTTGAGGCAGAGACGTCTCGACACGCCAGCCTGAGCCAACATAGAGACCCCATGTAGAGACCCCAGTCTCTAACAAAAAAATGCACAAGTGAGCGGGGTGTGGTGGCGCGTGCCTGTACTCAGTCCCAGCTACTGGGGAGGCTGAAGCAGGAGGATCGCTTTTAGCCCCAGGAGTTGCGAAGGTATGCCTGTGGAGCCGAGGCTGACCGCCACGGCCACTCACTCTAGCCTGGGCGACGTGAAGGACGTCGTCTCCAAAAAAAAAAAAACAGTCCCGGGAAACCAGACCAGACCGCTCCCACACTCGAAGAAAAAACCATCAGCAGGAGCCAGGCTTGGTCAGTAGAGGAAGGAGCCCCGCCCACGGCTACGCCGCCCCCCGGCTCCACCGCCCTACCCGTGCCGGCGTCCTGCGAGATGGTCACCGACACGTCCAGGCCCAGCGTGGTGACCCTCTTGCACACGGCGTCCATGTCGAATGATATGGACTCGACATGCTCCTCGCGCCGTCCTCACACCAGCATGGGAGCCGGAGGCAGGAACGGGCAGTTGTCAGGCCTTCGTAGCCGTGTTGTGGCCGCGACTTGCTCAGCGTGACTGGCGGTGGCCAGTGCGCCCCGACCAACCCACGTGCACCAAGTCTGCAGACCAGGCGGGCGGCGCGGGATTAACGCGGCCCCAACTCCGCCGCCGGCCAGCGGAGCGGCACCAGGTTGCCATGCCTCGGACTGCACTCAGGCCTGGGGTGAACCCTGTCCTCTGCCTTCTTGCCGTTGGGCCAGACCCCTGAACAGTCGACTCCTCGCAGAAAGGGATAGCCAAGGGGAATCAGCCAAGCACTCGAAGCGCGTGGGTCCGGTTTCACGGGGAGCCTTCTTTTTTGTTTCTTGTTTTTCTTTTTTTGAGACAGAGCTCACTCTGTCGCCCAGCTAGAGTGAGTGGCGGCGGGTGGGGCGTCAGCCTCGTTCTCACGAGCAACCGTCAATCGTCCTGCTGGCAGCGATGCCTCCTGGCTCAGCCTCCCAAGTAGCTGGGATACAGGCATGGTGCCAACCCAAGCCACGACTTCATTTGTTTATATGATACGTATGTGTTTAGTTGGTCAAGTTGTTGTAATTGTTATTTCTATTTTCGGTAGAAGACGGGGGTCTCGCTCAGGCTGGATTCAGAACTCCTGACCTGAGCAATCCGCCGCCTCGCCTCCCACGAGTGGCTGGGATCGACAGGCGTGAGCCACGTGCGCCCGGCCGGGAAGCCCTTCTGTGTTACTGGCGAACCGCGCCATCAGAGAACACCAGACTCCGCGTGACGGCCGAGTTGGTGTTCTCTGATGGCGCAGTCGCAGTAACAAGAAGGGCTCCCGGCCGGGCCGCAGTTGGCGCGAGCGTGCATAGCACTTGGGAGGGGGAGGCGGGCGATTGCACTACCAGTGTCAGTGAGTTCGAGACCAGGCACTGAGCGATTACCCCGTCTCTACCGAAAATAGAAAGTAAATTAATGTGACCAACCTAAAAATATATAGGAGGGTTT